GAGCAGGCAGGTGATTTTTTTTTTAAAAGACATTTGAGGCTCTGATAGCATCTTCTTTGAAGGCAGCAGGCTAGTCTAGGGGGTGCAACAGACTGTATTTACACAGCTGCCTCCTTCTAAATCCTGCTGCCACCCTCCAGCATATATGACTGGCCCTGCAAGTTTAGCATACATATCCAAAAGCAACTGCTACACATGGACTTCTGTTGACAGAATCCCACTTTAAAGCTTTCTAAGCCAGCAGGTCTGACTACAGATGGTTTGAGCTCTGTGTATTATATGTGTTGGCAACCTGTTTGAGGTGATCGTGGAAAATGAGTTTGGAAAGATGTGGCTGAATTGCATCTAGTTCCAATGACAGTAATCCTTATATTGATCATTTTTTCCCTAGAACTTAATGTTTGTTCTATTTAATTTCTGCAGATCTTCCTCATAAACACCACTCAGGTTCCATATCTGATATTTTACACAAGAAAGAAACAACTTCTGTTTGATCAATACAGGATCTCGTAATGTTCTTTTCCTTTTAATAATAATTATGTGCAGTCAAATCAATTTTGACTTATGGCAACTCTTTCCAGGTAGAAAGTAGTGGTGCTTCGACTTACAAATGTCCTAACATACAACCATTTTGAGTTATGACCAGCTCCACCCACAAGATGAAGCAAAATTTTGCGGCTGGAGCTTCTAGTTACAACCAGAAGAAGGCGGGGAATTCAAATTGCTAACCATTGGTAGGCAAAGAGACTGCTTCTTTGTAGCTCTTTCACCCCAGTGGTTAGAGTGTGTGGGATTGGAGGAGGCTTCGGACTGCCTGGTAAGGTGCTGCTTTCTACTTTTTAAAAGCTGTGTGAGGGTTCGGTATTATGGGGTTCAGTCACACTCAATAAAGCATGAGACGGTTTTACCTCTTCAACATTGTCTTCATTTATTAACAGTCCAACATTAACAGTAACATCTCTTGGAACGGAATTTAAAGTCTCTTGCTCTCTGAACTTCGATTGCAAGGGTGTCCAAACGTTATTAACAAAGGGATTGGTATCATCAAAATTCCATGGTCCAGATAAAACCTTCTCTGTGACCGGAGTTTCGCCGTCATCGCCTTCAGGACCTAGTAGTGGTAGGGTCTCCTCATCTCCGCTCCAGCCGCAGAATGAGGAACCCTCTCTCGGACTGGCCAGCCACGGTCTGGGAAGACCCCCATCTTCTGTAGCTCTGCGAGATGCCATGCTTTCTTGGCTTCTATTTCTCTCGCCATGGTCTCTCGCTCCTCTCTTAGGCGGCACCTCCATTCTTTTGCCTTGGTCTCACCCCAATAAGATGGACGGGGCTGTTGTCCTTGTCGTCGCCGCCTCTCAGCCTACTCATGGGGAACCTTCACTTGTTCCCATTTTCCTCTCCATGGGTCTTGGACCCAAACCATTTCCCAACCACCCGGGATCTCCTCCCGCTTCTCCTTTATATCCCCCGCTCCCGCCTCTATTTCCCCTTCCCCTTTTCCCGCCAAATTTCTCCCGGTCTTCTCTGGCACTTTTAACTCCCTCAGTGCCTGCACCAGGTCACTGGTATCCACCCCTTTGTGTTTCCGCCCCTCTTCTCCCGTTATCTCCTCCAGTTCCTTAGTATCCACCTGCTTGCTCTCTTTCCTAGGTGAAGAAGGTGGAGGGGAAGTCTGAGTCGCCTGAGCCCGGGATGGGAGCGATGGCACTCCCACGTAAGCTTCCTGGCTCTGGCTAGGGGTCTTACATATTCATCCAAAAAAGTAATTTGTGAGACTGGAAGCATGTTTCCTTTGATATGTCACAATTAACAACCAAACTGTGATATGTCTTATTATTATTGTAGCAAAATCATCTTCATTTGCAATACTAGGAAGTAACATCCCTCCCCATAGCTGGAAAAGGACAAGAAAAAGTAATAATAATAAGTATAATCCTTTGATTATATTCCAATAAGTGCACCTCCAGTAATGAGGAAGCACCAGAGCTTGAATGGAAAAGTAATTTTTTTTGACCCGGCTCACCAACCAGCATGGCCAGAAAGCTACGTTTCCCATCTATAAAAAAGTATATTTGTTGTTGT